TACTCCCTTCAGGTAAAAATCTGAATAAATAGCTAACTAAGCCTTGTGCCTTTAAGGATGTTGACAGATTTACAACATCCTATAGTACTCTGAACAAACTTTATGGAATGAAAAAAACTATTGAATTGAGGCTTAATTGATATTTTTTGATTGAATTGATTTAAACTTAATACCTTTCGGTTTACAGTACATTACAATAAAAATGAAATTGTTTGTGCTGTAGTGTTGTATGTGCATACACTAGTTCAAACTGAATGCTCTACGAACAACTGTAATAGACTTGGGTTTTGTCTGTTGCATATTTGTCATTAATCTTTTGTCACTCGGGTGTGAAAACACCCCAAACAACAAAAGTTTAACCACAAAAAGAGCCAACATAGACCCTTGTTGGGGGGAGAGCTTTTTCTGTGACAAAATAAAACCTTCTCCTGGAAGCAAAGAAGGCTCTAGCACTTCCCTTACACTGGTGTAGCTGCAGTGTTGTAAGGTGTGTAGTGTAGACATAGCTTCAGATGAAAGCCTGGAGTTTAATATATGGTGTTATACTTATCTCCAAGAACTGGAAGGGACCTTGAGAGGTCGAGTCCAGTCCCCTGCCCTCATGGCAGGACCAAGTACCATCCCTGACAGATTTGCCCCAGATGGCCACTAAATGGCCCCCTCAAGGATTGAATTCACAACCCTGGGTTTAGCAGGCCAATGCTCAAACCACTGAGCTATCCCTTCACTCCGACTAGAGGTCATCTTTCTGATTCAGCCGATGGCCAAGACGGTCCATGGTGGGACCCAGTCCTTACGGAAGGACTGAACCTACTGAAGTCTCATACACCTGTGTGTTTATCCTGTGCTGGAACTTTGATCTTGTAACCATGCTAAAAAAGCCAACCCCCTCTTAGGGTGGGTGTAGGGATGTTAAATTGCAGTTATTCAATTAGATGATTAGTGGATGGAATTTCAAGATACTACTCGATTAGTTGATAAGGAGGGCCCTTGCTACACCTCCCCCCTGCTGCTACTATGCCGTTTAAACATAGTAGGAGCCTGGTGCACAGTAGCCCGGCTCTTACTACATTTAAACTGCAGAGCTGCAGTGGGGTTAGGAGTCCCAGTTCACACTGCCCCCTGCAGCTAAACCCCACTGTGGCTCTTAAGTGCCTGGCTCTAGGATGCTGCAGCTCTGACCTGCCCCATGGAGATGTGGCTGGGGGGAGGGGAGGAGACTAGCTTTTAAGCTGACTCCCCCAGTACCAGCTCCTGCTTCACCCTCCCCTTTGCTGCCTCTGACGCAGAGGCCGCGGGGTGGGTGGGGGGGAATGAGTAGACGACTCTCTTGCTTACATCCCTGGTGAGGTGATGCATAGTAGGTGTATTAGCATGCTTGTAAGGTGCTTTTATTTTCAATAAATGTTTTTTCTGAGACATGTTTCCATTTCGGAATAAAGAGGTGTGCCTAGAAAGAACCGTGTGGTAACTTGCATCTGCAGCAATCTCTCCATTATCAGCCTATGAAAAGAAAGCAAGCAGATCCATTTAGTGTGGCAGACCATCTTTGTTGGGAAATACATAGCCAAGGCAGGGAACTGTGCAGCCTGGACATGTATTCTGGTCTGAAGGCCGTGAGATGAAGGTCTCTACCCAAAAGGCATCAGGTGGGGAGCTGGAAGCTTGAGAGTGAGGGCCCTTGCAGGATCAAAGGGGGGAAATTGCCAAATGGTGGACACCCTGTCTTCTTACTCTAGTGTGCCCTACCTTTTAGACGTACAGGTCAGGGAATTGCACACAAGAGCGTACCAGCTAAGCTCTGTTGTGAAGCTGCTACACATGGTTTGGGCCAATATTGTATTGTTAGCAACTTGATTACAGCAGCTAACCAGGAAACCAGTGAACTTTTCAGTGTCCACTGAGGCATCGGTTAGAATGTTTGGAACAAAGTATAAAATCACTGCTGATATTAAAAAGAAAAAAAATAATGAAGAGGACCTAAATTGATAAAGTGGTAAAAGAGGGTCAGTTAGAATAGTCTAAATTGCTGGATAAACTGTTCTTGAACATTTGAAAGGACCCATGTGTTTGGCTGTATTTATATTCATGAAAAAAGAATGTGGGCCCATTTACAGGTTGTGCAGGGAGGGACTATTTCCTGGAAAGCAGTGGCTCTGAAAAGGACTTGGCGGTCATGGTGAATAGCCCACTAAACATGAGCTCCCACTGTGATGATGTGACAGAGCTCGTGAGCTTTGGCTATGTAAATGGGCCTACTGAGTAGAAGTAGAGAGGTTGTGCCACGTGCTGTGTTAATAGCAAGACTGGCTGAGATAGTGTTCCGTCCTATTGTCAGCACTTCAAAAAGGATGTGGAAAAACTGGAAATTATCTACAGGAATAATTGATCCAGAAAAACTGCCTCAAAGACTTGACTCTCAATCTTGCACATATCCAATGAAAGGTTGAAGGTTGGCTTGATTGTCTATAAATCTGTTTTACTTCAGCAGACAAAGGCATAACAAGATCTGATGGCTGAAGCTAGGCACATTCATGCTAGAAATAAGGCACACATTTTAACCCTGATAATTAACCAGGGAACGTGACATCATCACTTTAAATCTTTCTCAAAGATGTATTGTAGCCCAATCAGAAGTATAGGTTCAATGCAAGAATTACTGATGGAAACTGAAGGCCTCGTATACAGCAGGTCAGGCCTTAAAAATATCTGTGAAAAGCATGTTCACTCTTTCAGCTTCTGTACTCTTCATGTTAACTGATGTAATTTATCTAAGAAGCATTATTATTTTTAATTTCTCATACTATCTGCTGATCACTCATAAGTTTTCCTCTTTATCCCTGCCCTTCTCCTTTGTCCAGCTTCTGATATTTCTTTGAGACTGAAGCTAGACATCTAGTTAAATCTCTCCTAAATAACATTTTATTTTTTTCTCCTTGACTTCTGTTTCTGCACCCTCTTGCCATTGATATTCTCCTTGACTTCTGTGTTTCTGCACCCTCTTGCCATTGATATCTATTCTTTATCAGGCCAAAATGTAATCTTTGGTGGCCTTCCTTTGTAGCCAGTGTTTTGCCAAGATCTGTTTCTTCTTTACCACTAAAAATCTGCTCTTCCTCCCTTTGTGGCTGTCTAATATCTTGACAGGTAAAAGGAGATGCAACAAAGTTGGGCCGTCAATAGTACTTAGCAATGCTCTAGGAAAAGAGACTAATACAAGAGGCATATCTTTCCACAGTGGATATAGGTCCAGAATTTAAAGCACACACTGCTTTCCAGCTTGCCTGCTGAGCTGTCTGATGGCTCTTTTTGGGGACTGTAGTCTGAACACGACTTCTCGAGACTGAATGATTTTGGGGCAGGATTTTCCCAGTTATTCAGCATTTCCACTGACATCTTGAGTCTTTGCTTCAACTTGTTGCTATATCAGACCTTTGGCCTTTCTTTGAGTCATGTGCATAGAACACAGCCTTAAACACAGTCGTGCCACATAACCCAACCAGCAAAGCCTGCAAATGTGCAGCGTAGACAGGATGGTCTGTAGATCAGTTTTCTCAAGGATCTATTACAGGTGATCCATTGGTCCCAAGTAATGACAAGGATTTTTCGAAGGTATCCATGATGGAAACTGTTCAGTCTCCACTCATGCTTGGAATGTCTGACCCAGTTTTCATAACTGCAGGGGAGGGTACATGGGAGCAAGGCTGATTTAACAGACATGTTTGTGTTCAGGGTTAGAAAATGTGTAAGGTAATTTGGCCAGAGGCAACAACAGCATTGTTGATTCTTGCATCAAGTTCCCTATCAAGATTAAGTGAGCTAGTAAAATTGAGCTAAGATAGCAGACGCAATCCATGTTGTCCAGACCCTCTGATGCTGCTAGCAGG